GCTGCAAATGGGTATTCAAAATAAACTATCAGGCTGACAGGAGTGTTGAAAGGTACAAAGCTAGGCTCGTAGCAAAGGGCTATACACAGCAAGAAGGCTTGGACTACCATGAAACCTTTTCACCTGTAACAAAGATGGTTACAGTCGGGAGTTTACTTGTTGTTACAGCTATTAAGGGGTGGCATTTACACCAATTTGATATAAATAATGAGTTTCTACATGGAGATTTGATGAGGAAGTGTACATGGATATGCGTCCTAATCATCCAGATGCAGGAAAGTTAAAAGTATGTAAGCTATTGAAAAGTACATATGGGTTAAAACAAGCATCTAGACAGTGGTATTCCAAACTTTCAGCCTTCATTGTTGAGCAAGATTTCATTCAGTAAAAGGCAGATTATAGTTTGTTTACAAGACCAAATAAAGACTCATTTACAGCCATCCTCGCCTATGTTGATGATATAATTATAGCCAGCAATGATATGGCCAGCATCAGCTCACTCAAACGACTACTAAATGACATATTCATGATCAAAGATCTGGAACTTTGAAGTATTTTTTAGGAATTAAAGTAGCAAGGTATGATAAAGGAATTCACATTAATCAACGAAAGTATGCCCTGGATATTCTATCGGACTCAGGATCAATAGGGTGTGTGCCAGCAAAAATTCCCTTGGATCAGAACATAAAATTGTCCAAGACAGATGGAGAAGGCCTTTTAGATCCTACTATGTATAGAAGACTAGTTGGGAGGCTGTTATATTTAACAATCACGAGACCAGACCTATCATACTCAGTACAGCTGCTGAGCCAATTCATGAGTGACCCTCGAACCTCACATTTAAAAGCAGCCAACAAAGTGTTAAGATACATAAAGGGAGCACTAGGGCAAGGATTGCTGTTTTCTGTAGATTCAAAACTACAGCTCAATACTTTTAGCGATTCAGACTGGGGTGCTTGTCAGGATACATGAAGAAGCGTCACAGGATATTTGTAATACTTGGGAAGTCATTAATATCATGGAAATCAAAGAAGCAAAGCACCGTGTCCAAGTCTTCAGCTGAAGCAGAATACAGGGCAATGGCAAATGCTTGCTGTGAACTTACTTGGCTTAGATACTTATTCAAAGACCTGAGAATTGAAGATCCATAACCTGCTAATCTGTTCTATGACAACAAATCTTCCCTTCACATAGCTGCAAATCCAGTTTTCCATTAGAGGACTAAGCATATTGAAATGGACTGCCATTTAATAAAGGACAAGATTCAGGAAGGTAATGTGGTTACTAAGCACGTTAGTAGTAACTGTCAAGTCGCCGACATCTTAAACAAATCATTAAGTTCATCACAGTTTTATCAACACATGAACAAGATGAAAGTTGTTAATATCCACACTCCATCTTATGGGGGAGTATTGAAATATGAAATGGAATTGAAGTAGGAGCTTCCTGATGATCAGCAAAAAGGATACGAAGCGTTAAAGAATTATGGAAAGGAGTAGTAATGTCCATTGAAGAAGGAGCACATGGCTGCCTATTATTTTTGTTATGCCTTGCTGGAACTTTGTAGATAGATTTTATTCTTTCTAACAGATTTGTTATGATTGTATTAGTTCTAGATTCTTCCTATCTACTGTATATATTCTGGTGTGTAGATGAACGAAAGTAATTGAATTCAATCATTTTTCATTTTCAATACAAATCAACTGTTTTCTTTCCTGCACAATCAGTGTGCACATTACAAACATATTTTCCTTTCATTTCTTATAGTTGGTGATTAAAATCAAATTTTTATTAAATTTTGATAAAAATTAATGAAATGTATGATTAAAAAGTTGTATATCTCACAAAATAAGTAATTAAAATTAATTGTTGAATTTTATTTAAATTAAAATTAAGATTTTAATCAATACCAACTAGGGGTTCTTCTTCTTTTGCATAAAAGTAACTTATTTATATTTTAGGTTTAACCAAATATGTCCAAATTTGCTACCGACATATTTAACTAGTGGAACACTCTCTTATGATACACTGCTAACTACCTGATCCAAGAGAATATTCCTGAGAAAACAGAGCATCATAAGATCCAAATTTCCCAAAGCAGCCTATTTCACGCCCATGCTAAAATAACAAAATTAGAATTACTAATCTTGCCACTTCACCAACCGTCCGTCTACCGATTCCTCCGGTTTCAACGCCATTGAATATCTTAATGTTAGTTTCAAATTATTAAAAACAAAGAATAATAATTTGGAATAAATAGAGTATTAAATTAATTTAGGGTATTGAATATATTATGCCCCCGTTTGACCTCCTTTCTCATTTTCATTTTTTCTTCTCATTCTTATTTTCACTCACACAATCTGCAATAAGATAATATTAAATAAAAATTGAAATTTTTTTCTTCTTTTCCAACTGCACATTTAAAAAAAACATTATTCCAAATATTAAAAATTGAAAGAAAGGAGGCCAAACGGGGCCATGTAAGCATATCTAGGGTGATAATTGTAGTAATTGCGACAATTAAAATTTTGATGATCAAGATTAAAATTATAAGTAAAATGCTCACTCATAAAATTAGTCCCACTCAAATTATATTATGTAATGGAATAATGTTATTTATGGAATATAGGTGATATGACAACTAGGTACAATAATGAAATATGACATTTTAGTTCCCATCTCTCTCATTAAATTTGAACTGTTATATCCTATTATTTCATTTATATTGCCACATCATCGATATATTATCATTATAATGAAAAATACATTATATCGTATCAATGAAAATACACTATTAAATTCATTATTTTCAATGTGGAAATGAGATATATTTTGGGTACCTTCAATAAAACTAAATTGAATAGCATTAACAAAAAATATTAAATCATGTTTGGTGGGGATAAGTATTAACGAAAAAATATTAAAACCTTGATAGATAGAGATTAAAGATTTTAATTTAAGTTAAAATTAATTAAATCATATATTTCTTAAAACTCATATTTTCTATTTACATATCTCATCATTTTTTATCAAAATCTATTAAAAAAATTGATTTTAATCATCTTCAAACAAAGATTAAAAATATTTACTTTGAATTGATATCTGCCGTCCATTTTATTGTATATCCAATTAATTGTTGACACGTTATTTTAAATTAACATGCAATCTCAATTTGGTGGGATAATAGTAAAATTAATGAGGGTAAATTTGAAATGAAATGTTAATTTAGACGTATCAATAATTAATTGGGTGGACAATGAACAGTAGGTCTCTACTCATTAACTTGTCATCAAACAAATATGTACGACTGTACATTCAATTAGCATATTATAATAGTTAGGATAAATCTATATGTATATAATTATTGTACATAATGGATTACATAGGCCCGTGTAGTAGAAATTCGACCTTAAATGTGAAGTGTGGAAACGACAAAAATTGTAGACTATCGATAGATGCGCGCCACGTGTCAATTATATAATATATTATGTAAATGATTATATACTTGTAACATGATCCAAAAACAATTTTTAAATGAACGTTCCTTCATTTTAAAAATTATTTTTTACATTGAAAACTCAGATTTTGACGGACATGAATGATTCGGTGGTGGCAATGGACATGATGAATCAAGTCGTCAATCATGTCTGTATACCTCCCATCAAATATTTGTAAAGCCTTGTAATTTGTATGTACGCATTTAAAAATTATTTTTTACATTGAAAACTCAGATTTTGACGGACATGAATCAAGTTGTCAATCATGTCTGTATACCTTCCATCAAATATTTGTAAAGCCTTGTAAATTGTGCTTTTAACAGTTGTACCTTCCATCATAACTGTGCAGAAACGCAAAACACGTTTTATCATTTACCTTAACCCATCAAACATGTCTCTGATTTTTCTTGAATTTCTGCATATTCCACGAAGCTAAAATGAAATAATTCTCCCTTTGCATTTTCTCTCATCCAATTTATGGCAGGTTTGAAATCGTAAATTCCGATCTGTTGTAAAAAATAAGAAAAGGATTGGTTAAATAATGGAAGGGAGATGGATTGAAGGGATTAAGATGGTGGAATTTATTAATAATCCAGCAGTAATGGAGACTTTTGTGGATATATTGGTCTGTGCGGTGCCGATTTGGGTGGCGGTGATGATTGGGTTAGCAATCGGGTGGTCCTGGAGACCGCGGTGGACCGGCTTGGTATTTCTCGGATTTCGGTCCAAGTTTCGGTTCATGTGGACTGCGCCGCCCGGGTTTGGGGCACGACGGTTTTGGCTAGCGTTCACGGCTTTATCGGCTTTTTCGGTTTGTCGTAGGCTTTGGTTTAGCTTCAGGGGGAGGACCCGGAAGGAGGAGGCATTGGCTCAGGAGCAGGCGGGTTCAGGGTCGATTTCTGGTACGGTTCCAGTTGCAGCGGCTAAGGAATCAGATGCTGTAGCTGATGCCAGCAGTGGTGAGATCAGGTAGGGTTTGATTTTTATTTTATTTTATTTATAAAATGTTTACTATAACTCCAATTACGAATACATATTGAAAAGGCCAACAACACACCATATTAAAACAAGATTCTACCAAACATCAATCCATCAGAAAACAGACTTACTGAAAATTAAAGATTGAACAAAAAGAATTATTTCGGCCTAAGCCCCGGAGGTTCGGCTACCACATCTAACAACTACATCCCCGTTGAGCATCCAAATAATGGATATATGCTCGGATGCACTATTTAGCCCAAAAATGGCAACAAGTTACAAAATGTTCTTTCAACACAAGGGAAAAGTACAGAACACCTATCTCTTTAATACCAAATTGCAGATCTATAACGAATCACTTAAAAAATTCCACAATCGCCTATTGAAATCGCGACTGCAAGAAAACCCTTATTCTCACAGCAATCACTCAGAAATACAAATTACAGTGGCTAACAAATACATATGATCTCACTTTACAAGTTCATCAAGAGAGATGAATAACACAAAGATCAAACCCTAATTTACAGGAATAAGACGTCTCTCAGAAGAACCCAGAAGTTAGAAGAATCTCGAAAGGTAGAGCAAGAGAAAATATCAGCACTGTGCATGTGTATATGTCTCACACAAATAAGACAAGAATCCAAGGGCCAGAGTTTGAACACGTATCATCATCTCATAAAAAACATTTCAACTAATAAAAACATATCAGCAATAAACACGGCTTTAAGCCAATATCTGGGAGCACATCATTGATAAGGGGTTTGCGCCTCAACAATCTCCACCTTGGTACCAGAAATTTGGGTCAATAAGTGCAGCCTAGAGTAAACATTACCAATTAATTTTCATTTGCTCCAAGTACCTGTTTAACATCACATTGTATCAATAGATAACAATTTCACACAGTTAAAAAGCTTGTTTAAAGGTATTATCTTAGTTCCCATATCTGAGGGGTTAAACTGGGTAGGAATTTTACCAATCTTCATAATTCCTTTAGATATAATATCTCTAATAAAGTGATATTTAATGTCTATATGCTTAATCCTATCATGAAACATGAGATTTTTGCTTAAATGTATGGCACTTTGGTTATCAGAATATAAA